AGAGAGAGAGAGAGAGAGAGAGAGAGAGAGAGAGAGAGAGAGATAGAGAGAGAGATCCAGATAAGGATACTAATTATTGAATTTGACGTTTCAGATGTATCGGCTCAAAAATGAACAACAAAATAAGAAACGAATAAATATCACAAGACAATATAATGGAATTGGCTTGAAAAAGACATTTTTTTTTTTAATTGAAAGAGAAATACGTCGAAGTATATAGGTAACTATGTAAATATATATAAATATATAATATATATCATGTATCTTCTTATTCGCAGATTCCAGTTGTTAAAATCGGGCTGATAGGATATGATATATAAACTACGCAAGGTATGTTTATACCAGAAACACTAAGAAGCTGTATGATCGAGACGGACGTATCTTCCTATTTACAAACTTCATCTACCGGACAGGTAAAAACTATATATCTAAATATATATATATTTCGTGCAATTATAAAACTAAGCTAATATCAAGAGCGAAAGAAGGAATCAATAAACTTCTGCAAGCAGTTAAATATTTGCGAGGATACTTAAGAGAATATTTTTGAATCATATTGTGAGGATAGAATAGAAAGATGAAAAGAATTAAATAATTCACTGAAGATTTAATTTTGCCCAAGCATTGAGTACTCATTATTTAACTACAAATTCTTTGTCGAATTGATCCGGTTAAGGATCGACTCAGATCAGGCACTCTGCCTGAATTGACAGCTTTTGGTGTAGTTGGGATTGATCATTTGTTAAGGTGATATTGAACTAGATAGGAATGCAGAAGCGATACGAACATTTCTGATCGGTTGCCAATCACAGAAAATAGAAGACAGAAACAAAAGAAAGACAAATGATAAATGGTATGATATAAGTCATAGGATATGAAAACTAATAGAATTACTTCTATGCTATCACCATAATATACATAATGAAATGATTTTGTAAGCATTTGTTCAAAATTACAATTTCAAATCGTGAAATTAGGTCCGATTTTTATTAACCCGTTATACCATCTGTAAATGTGATTGGAAATGTAACATTTAGGGTGGTTTCCCGTACAATTAAAAATTATTTTGAAACGTAAAATATACAGATTTTGACGAATATGCCATGTATTTTTATGTATATATCTCTTCTCGATACTTTTAAAATGTACTTTCATAAAATTATATTTCTTATCACATTAATTTTACCTGAGTATATATTTTGGTAAAGTAACTAATGAAATTAATTCTAATTGTTAGGTATAATGAAAAATGGTCTGGATTTATAGGAAAAATATGCGATTTCCATGTTACACCATTAATCAGAAATATTTTAAAATGTAACTAAAGCAATATTTATTGATACATTGACTTTTTTCAAATCAAATCATTCTTGGTGTATATATCTATTAAATATAATATATATATATATATATGGGTATATATAATTATATATATATATAATTATATAATTATATATATATATATGTGTGTGTGTGTGTGTGGGTATGTATATGTCTATATATAAAAGTATAAGAAAATGTGTGCATCTTGTTTGTCTCCTCTCACCTGTTAACTTTCAGCTCTCACATTAATCTTTTTACTGTGCAAGTTGTGTTGTTTTTCTTTAGAATATGTACTTATACCTCATATACTTGAATTGTATACAAATAATTTTTATATTTATTGATATATATTATATATTATTATTGATATATATTTATATTTTATCGTAGTTTAAATGCTTTATGTGTAACTGTCTCTTCGATCACATGAATGGTAGTTATAATCAGTGATGATCCCAGTGATATGTATGTATTTTATAGAATTTCATTTTTTGTTTAAATTTACCCCCCACTCCTATATCCACCCCTCACCCTAAGATTGTAAAACGCGTATTTCAAATACTAGAGACTTATGCTTCGGCAAATGCATACATATTCATGTTCTAATCATAATCCGAAAGTTTCATGAAGATAGTCCATCGACAAGATGGTTAAATGGATAAATTGGATAAACATACCAATGCGTATTTATACGTGCGTGCGTATGCCTGTGTGTTTTCGTATGTGAGTGCGAATAATTATTTAAATATTAGTTGCTCGAAAGGTTCACGGGATTTGGTAGTGGAGCAATCCACCATCTAGAACATTCTTAGAATCACATCTGCAGTTAGTTTGGTTTAGATTTGCTAGCAACAGGACGCTCGATCGAGAAGTTTTTTTTAAATGAGATTTCTATTTCATTTATGTATATTTTTAAATACATCGAAATTGAAATTTCAACCATACTATATGTTCTAGCACATTTTTAGAATCACATCAGCAGTTAGTTTAGGTTAGATTTGCTAGAAGGCGCTGCAGCAGTGAATATATTTCCGTTTTGCCATGACATGTGCTTTTTATTTGTTTGGTTCAGGGTAGTATCTAGTCGAGCATTCTTGACTAGAGTTTTCTTATTTCTTTCATACGAGCAGCAGCTTTGACAATCGCCGTGAGCTGGTAGTATAGTAGCCTTAGTAGGCTACTATATATATAGTTAGCTAGTTATATATCTATAGTTAGCTAGTTACTAATACTGTTATTATCCATTTGATACTATATCTTACTATACTATATATATTTATTTGAATTATTATGTGTTTAGAATCTTATATAACAATACATACATATTTACATTTACATTTTTTACATTTAGGGTTGTCAACAATTTTTTAAATATGGTGATGATATTTCAAGTTTTGAAAAATATCCAATATATATCTATATATCAATATTTTTCGATATATTTTGTTAACAAAGCTTTTTTCCCACAATAAATTTATAATCCGACCAAACCGCAGTATGCGGCACTCAAAAGCCCCATAGTGTTTGTTATTCATGTGCCCCGCCATATTTTATGTGTTATGTGTTCTATATATGGCAGATATTCATTCATTAATAGGCTTACCCCATAGCATTCGCTCATCAAGTTTGATTCAAATAATTCAACTAGTGATATCGATATGATACTACTGTGGATTACCTATTTTGGATACAGCTCTATATCATCTGAAAGCATTAAACGGAAATTCAGTTGGAAATCTAGGAAACATTTTCAAGCATTTCAATCATCCTTTTGAATTATTACTTAAATATCATTTGCTCGAAGGGTTCAGAGGATCTCGTAGTTGAGCAGTCTCGACTAGAGCTTTCTTATCCATCCATCGTCGTAATTTATTAATTTGTAGTCGAAAGTGAAACCGTAAGAATCACTCTCAATAAGAGTATTGAATATTGAATACAAAAAACAAGTAAGAAGGATATAGTCGAGACTGCACGACTAGGAGATACCCTGAACCCTTCAATATGATATTCTTATCACTTCTTTTAGGCACACATACATACACACGCACGTATTAAAACGAGCTCTGCTAACTGCGCAGTAAGCAGCGATTGCGCTTGGACTGCGCTGCAGTGTGAGCAATATTATGTGGATATAGGACTGGGGGGTAAATTTTAACAAAAATCGAATCTTAATCTTAATCTTAATGTATGTTTTAAATTTGGAAACCCTACATTTAAAGATGTGGGAGATATAATTTTATAACTGATTTTTGATATGGTTTCTTATCGGACATTAAAAAAATTTTATGTCTCTAGCTCTTATATCTTCTTATATATTCATACATATGGACAGACGGACGGACAGAGCAAAGTCAACTCAGTTCTTCGCCCTGATCAAGAATATATATACATTGTGGGTTCTGCCACGCCTCCTTCGGCCTGTTACATACATTAAAAAAAAATTATTATACCCTGATTTCCCATTTCCAATGGGTTCAGGGTATAAAAATAATATCTTACTTTTTATAATAAATGCAATTGATATTGGTACTTTTCTACAAATTTATTAACTTAAAATATTTATAAATATTAGAATGGAATTCTGTATTAAACAAGTAAAAAAGTTCTATTGGAGACTGCTTGGTTATGAGATCCTCTGAATCCTTTCACCAACTGATACTTACATTCATACATAGATACATAGTATGTATATCAATGTTTCTTCGCGTCTTTCTGCCTACACAAGAAACCCACACACACACTGACAGATACATAGGGACGCACACGTAAACACAGATGGGCTGCAATGTGGGCTTACTACTATTGGAATTTAATTGTTTAAAAACTTGTTTTGTGATTGGTCTTTCTTCATATGTATGTATATATGTATGTATGTATAATCATTTAAGTCCACATTGTAGCCCATGCGTGTTTATGCGTGCATGCGTATGCTTTTATGAGTGCGTGTCTATGTGCATGTTTTGTTTCTTGTATAAGCAGAAAAGATGCCAACAATTATTAAATATAAATTACTCGAAGGGTTCAGGGGATCTCGTAGTCGAGCATTCGCGACTACAGCTTTTACATGTTTTTGTATTAAAAGCATTCGAATTTTAATCTAGATTTTGCTTTCACCATTGGTATTTTGTATTGTATTTGTTTATTTAAAATAATTTCATACGGTTTTTTTTCATTGTACACGTACATACATACATACGTATATAGTAGATGAAAATACTTTATATTCTGTAAATCTGTGCAAGTTTCACAAACTGTTGTTCAATTCAACTGAAAATTAGGAAACAATATCTATATATATATATATATATATATATATATATATATATATGTATATGTATATGTATA